CGTTCAGTTCTCCTCCTTTAGGTGAATGGTTACCAGATTCTGGAGCATCAAATCATGTTACTGGTACATCTCAAAATATTATGCAAGGCCAGCAACTTGGTGGTACAGATCATGTTCTTATTGGCAATGGCCAAGGTCTTCCTATAACTGCTATTGGCTCCTCATCCTTTCAATCTCCCTTCGATTCTAACACTCACTTGCACCTCAAAAATTTACTTTTGGTTCCATCAATTACCAAAAATCTTATCAGTGTTAGCAAATTTGCAAAAGACAACTCAGTTTTCTTCGAATTTCATTCTAACGTGTGCTTTGTGAAATGCCAGGTTTCACATAAAGTCCTTCTTCAAGGTGCAGTAGGCCCTGATGGTTTATACTACTTTCCAGATTTGAAGCTCTCCAACAGCCATAATTCAACATCAAGTAACATCTGTTCTAGTTCACATGTGTCCTCGAATATCACCAAGTCTGTTAATGTTGTTAGTCCAAGTATTCAACCTACTAGCCATTGTTCCAACACTGTTTCTGGTTCTCAAAATAGCATAGATAACCCTTCTAGTTCGTTGTCAACTTTGTGGCATTATAGGCTGGGACATCCCCATTTTAATTCTCTCAAAAGTGTACTCAAGTCTTGTAATATACATATCAATAATAATATGGCTGAATTCTGTTCTTCTTGTTGTTGTGCAAAGTTACATCGACAACACTCTTTACCCTCTCATACTGAATACAAGGAGCCATTTACTCTTGTTTTTAGTGACCTATGGGGACCCTCACCCCTTAAATCTTCCCTGGGTAATGCTTATTATATCTCATTTGTTGATGCTTGCACTCGGTACACTTGGCTTTATCCAATTAAACAAAAATCAGATGCAATCCTCATTTTCAAACAGTTTCATGCCATGGTGACAAATCAATTCCAACTTCCTTTAAAAGCTTTACAAACAGATTGGGGTGGAGAATTTAGAGCTTTTACACAATATCTGAACTTGCAAGGAATAACCCATAGAATTACTTGTCCACACACTTCCCACCAAAATGGTGTTGTTGAACGAAAGCACAGGCATGTTGTGGAGACTGGTCTAGCTCTTTTAGCCCATTCATCACTCCCAATGGAATTTTGGGACTATGCATTTACCACAGCCACTTACCTCATAAACAGACTTCCTTCCTCAGCCATCCAATTTGACATACCTCATGTCAAGTTACACAATCAACAGCCTGATTATAAATTTCTTAAAACATTTGGTTGTGCATGTTTCCCTTTCTTACGGCCTTATAACAAACACAAGCTTGAGTTCAGATCCCGTGAGTGCATTTTTCTTGGTTACTCCTCTAATCATAAGGGTTATTTATGCTTGAGTCCAGAAAACAGGATATTCATATCCAAAGATGTATTATTCAATGAATATAAGTTTCCTTACAAAGAATGGCTTGCAAATAAAACTCTCTCTACTTCTCAAAAGCCCACCCCCACATCTAAGTCTATTCCTCTATCCATTTTCCTTCCACAAACCTGTCCAGCTCCTCCCAATGACATGTCTCCTTCAGTGTCTGCCATTGGTTCACCCTCTAACTCTCTGCCAGTGAATACTATTTCCCAGAATGACCATCAGTCCACTTTAAACACTAACTCTTCTTCACACACATCTTTCTCTAATTCCTCTTCCCCATCACCTGATGTTCATTCATCTAATGTCTCGAGTTCTTCCACCAACTCTAGCTCTAGTCCAGCATCTTCCCATTCAGAATATGAACCATCAAGTCCTCTGCACTCTCCCTCTCCAGCACACTCTGTTGTCACCAGATCTAAAGCTTTGGCCAGAAACCTTGTTCTTCTCACTCACTCAGAGCCTACATCAGTTAAGGAAGCCTTGATCAGCCCTCACTGGCTCAAGGCAATGCAATTAGAATATGAAGCTTTGCAAAATAACAAAACTTGGTCTCTTGTTGCTTTACCGCATGGCAGGAAGGCTATTGGGTGTAAGTGGATTTTTCGCATCAAGGAAAATCCTGATGGAACAATAAATAAATACAAAGCGAGGCTTGTTGCCAAAGGTTTTCATCAGCAGCAAGGGTATGATTATAATGAAACTTTCTCACCAGTGGTGAAGCCTACTACAATCAGAATTATACTTACTCTAGCTCTCTCTTATGGCTGGCCCTTAAAACAACTTGATGTTAACAATGCCTTCCTTAATGGAGAGCTTGTTGAAGAAGTTTATATGACACAGCCACCTGGTTTTGAAACCAAAAACAAGGATCTGGTATGCAGACTAAATAAAGCTCTCTATGGGCTAAAACAAGCCCCTCGAGCATGGTTTGATAAGTTTGGTAGCACACTTCGACACCTTGGTTTTTGCTCAAGCAAGTGCGATCCATCTCTCTTCATTCTTCAATCTAATGGGAGCTGCATCTATGTTTTGGTCTACGTGGATGACATCATCATCACAGGAAACAACTCCACTCTAATTCAACAGCTCACTAATCAATTGAACTCCTCATTTGCTCTAAAACAGTTAGGAACCTTAGATTATTTTCTGGGTATTGAAGTCAAGCCCCTATCTCATGGGAGACTTTTGTTGTCTCAAGGTAAATATATCCGAGACTTGTTAAACAGGGCTGGAATGTCTAATGCCAAAGGCATCTCTACTCCTATGCCTAGTGGGTGCAAATTGAGCAAGCATGGAGCAAACTATGTTGCTGATCCCTTTCTTTATAGATCCATTGTTGGTGCTCTGCAGTATGTTACCTTAACAAGGCCAGAAATTGCTTTCACCGTAAATAAGGTTTGTCAGTTCATGTCCCAACCATTGGAAGAACATTGGAAAATTGTAAAAAGAATTCTGCGTTATCTTAAGGGAACATTGTCCCATGGTCTTGTGTTTCATCCAGCCTCACCACATCAGCCTCTCCCTCTTGTGAGTTTCTGTGATGCAGATTGGGGGTCTGACCCTGATGATCGAAGGTCAACATCAGGTGCTTGCTTATTCCTTGGATCTAATCCCATTTCCTGGTGGTCCAAGAAGCAATCAGTGGTGGCAAGATCTAGCGCTGAGGCTGAATATCGCAGCCTAGCCCTCGCAGCTGCAGAAATCTTGTGGGTTCAGACACTGCTGCAAGAACTGCATGTGTCCAGCAAACCCCCCCATCATTTACTGTGACAATCAAAGTACAGTGGCCTTGGCTCACAATCCTATCTTACACTCACGAACAAAACACATGGAACTTGATCTGTTTTTTGTTCGAGAAAAAGTCTTGGCCAAGTCTCTACTTGTTCTTCACATACCTTCTCCTCTTCAAGTTGCTGATACATTTACCAAACCTCTTTCTACTGCACGGTTTGCAGAATTGAAAGACAAACTTAAAGTTTTGGATCATGCTCTACTGATCCAACCCACTTAAGTTTGAAGGGGGAATATTAGAGTATATATGTATAGCATAGCTTGCTGGTTGTATTCAATCCTTTCTTGTATTAGTTACAACTGTTTTCTTTCTTGTATAAGCTGTTACAGCTGTCAACATTTTAGGTGTTTAGCGTGTGAACTTGCTGACTCATGGTACGCATTTATACCGAGGAGCAGAACTGGTATCTGCACTTTTCGTCAGAAAAGCGATTTTCAGTATTCTTAATCACTTACTATAATTATTTAAGTCTTCTCATAATTATTTGGGTCAATTATGAAATTATTTCCTAATTCTCATATTTATTTATTTAATTTCCTAATTTAACGGTGCGGGTTCTTACAGCGGTGGTTGGTGGCGATGACGTGAAGATGGTAGTGGTGATTGTGACGACAGTGGTTGCGATAGTAGTGGTGGTGGTGATTTGTGACGGTGGTGGAGATGTCGGCGGTGGTGGCATGTGATGGTGGTGACTGTAGTGGTTGCGATGATGGTGGCGTTTGGTGCCTGTGGTGATAATAGTGGTGAAGAGTGATTGAAAGAGACACGTGTTTTTCATTTTATGCACGGGAACAAAAAAGAAAAAAAAATTATCTATGACCCAGCACAAAATTAAATTGGTTCATCTTAGGAACAAAAAATAAATCTGTTTTACCAAACGAAATTTCTATCTATTTCTATTATGGGGAATCGAAATTAATTTATTTTTTTTAGGATTAGTTGTAATACACACCTTAAGTATTGTTTTCTTAAAAATAAAGTCTTCAGCTTTAATTATTTGATAATTAATCGATTCAAAATGTAAAAATCGTCATTCATTCTACTTGTTTCCTCACAATTTTAACAGAATATATATATATATATATATATATATATATATATATATATATATATATATATTATTTATATTATTTTAAAAGATTAAATGAATTAATTATAAAAAAACTATTTGGCATTAAAGGGATTTTTAAAAGAATAATTAACATACTTCAATCATTTTTTTTACATTACTTCAATCAGTTCTAATTAAGTTAAAAATTGTAAGCGATTGGACAAGTGAAAGATTATTAAAATATGTGTATTTATGTGAAAAGAGTTTAGCATTTTAAGTAGAAGATTATTTTAATTTTTTAATAATATGATAATATTTAATTAGATTAGAAGATAAAGTACATATTCTTTTTTATGCTAATCATGACTTAAAAATAATTCAAATAATGTAACAACTGAAATCTTAAGTCAAATGAAAACCAAAAATGCAAAGTTTTATTGCAGGTAGCAAGTTTCTCCGGGGGTTATATTAACATTACGAAAATATTGGGGAAATATTTGCAAGATTCTCTTACAAAATTTCAAACATAATCCAGTACAACGAAAAGTTCAAATCCCCAAGGAGGCGCAGAACGTGGGCCGTTGATTGGCGCGAGGCATTGACGTGTTCGGTAATTGATGGGGTAATACAAATCCGTATTCTCCCTCCTCGACCGTCGTCGTCGTTGATGCGCACTGCCATAAGAACACACAAAAATCTCATTGGCTTGCACACCTTTATATTCAAGTTTCGCGGCAACCCCTTTCTTTTTCTATTTCTCTCTTTCTCTCGCTCTAAACCCTGCCACTTCTCTCTCCTCTTCTTCTCGTGCTTCTGCGGGAATCGGATAAGCCCTACAAGCGGTGAGAGCCACAGAAGCTGTTTCACTGTCCGATCTGTAATCTAGGGTTTGAATTCGAAACAGAAAACAAATATTTGCGTCATCTTTTGTTAATTGTCCTTGTTTTGTTCCCTCTTTCTGGCTTTTCCTCATATTCTTGTTGTTTTTGTTCGTATTTCTTTTAATATATATATATATATAAAGCCAGTTGATGCTGGTTCTTGTTAGTTGACTGATTCTGAAATTTGTTTCTCATTGTGCATTTGAATCGGCGTTCCTTTTCATTGTTTTCTTTTTCTTTTTCTTTTTAAATAATTTTGAGGTGGGTGAGAGGGGAAGGATTTACGTTTTTTTCTTTTTTCTTTTTTCTGGATGATTCGGATGTTGTGCAGCTAAGAAGTCAGTAGCTAAACACGATGTGATTATGAGAAGTTCTGCTTCGAAGATGTTCTGGTTATGTTTATCTTGCAACGACTTAAATTTGCTGTTTATCTTGTTAGTTTGGAAGTGTTTCAGGGGCATCGCTAAGTCTTGTACTAATTTTGAAGACTTAACTGATACTTACTATTTAATTTATGTATTTTTGTTTAGGGTTCTCGGGGGTGGGGGTGGGGTTATAACTGTTATTTATTTATTTGTTTTGGATGTATACACCTTTTCTATCTTAAATAAAAGAATAGCAATATGAGAAACCATCTTTGTGTTTTCAACGTTTCGGTTATATTGAGAATTCCTGCTATGATGCAGTTGAACTTTTGGCCTCTAATTGTTTTACTTCTTGTGGGATCTTGTGTCTGCGTGTGTTTTTATCTTTATAATTCAAACAGCTATATAAGTGAAAGGCATGCAAGGTAATGTTAACGATTGGACTTTTTAACTTGTGCGGGAAGGGTGGAATAATGAAAGCTGAAGGAACTTGCATTGACCTTAGCCTCCATGTTAATGATATATTCCTCAAGAGAAATTTATGTGTTTTATGATTCTATCATGCATTGTTGATCAGTTCACTAGATAAGTTTAACTGAGCTAATATCGTTGATTGAGACTATCTTTACTTTGTTCAGATATATAAAAGATCAATGGCACCTACGAGGAAATCTAGAAGTGTTAATAAGCGGTTTTCAAGTTCAAATGAGGTTTCTCCAGAGAAAGATGGAGTTAACTCAAATAAAAACAAGCAACGGGTATGTCTTACTTGGTAACATATTGTCATAATAGTTTTGTAGCTGGAAGCAATAGGACAGCATTAAATTGAATACAGCACTCTGTCCTGCTCGGTTACGTACTGTTGTAATAGTTTTTAAAGGAGTTAAAGTGGTAGTTCTTTGGTTTTGTATAATATTGTTTCTAGTATTAGTGCATTTCATTGTATAAGTGTTCATATCTTGTAAACTACGTTGCACGGGTATGAATACAAGTATCCGGTACAATATGATACGATATACGAATACAATAAATTTTTAAAAAAGTTAAGATACAGGTATGGCTCAATAAATGACATTAAATACATATTTATTTATGAAAGTTTGTTATTTTGTGTCATAATTTTGAAGAAAACAAGACCGCAAGAGTCAGATTATGCTTTGAGGGAGGGAGTTAGTGAGTGGGACTTGAATTTTTATCTTAGATTTTTTAATAATAGGACTTTGAGGGTGGTGGGTATTTATAAAACAAAAAGTTAATTATGGATATGCCAAAAATGCAAATGGTGCATTATACGAGTGTCTGATACAGATGCAAAACAGATACGTTACCAGTTTTGGAGTATCCATGCATCATACTTCATACATAACTTTAATTGATTCCTGTCCATTACAGTACATGCACTGAACATGAACATTATTTCATCTCATGTTTAAGCCTCCAATTTTTGATTCCTGGTTGATGTGTGCCCTTTACATAGAAGAAAAAGTTGTCTGATAAATTGGGATCTCAGTGGAGCAAGGAGGAACTAGAGCGGTTTTATGAAGCATACAGGAATTACGGGAAAGACTGGAAGAAGGTGTGCTTTAGTTATGCTGTTATTTTCTCTCATCATCCTGCTTGCTCATTTCGAAATTTAAGGACAATTTGACTTGTTATTTCTTCTTGCTATCATTATCATCATCATTGTCAGTAGAGTTATTGGTACGATTCTCCATTGTTATTGATTTATTTGGATTTCCAGGTGGCTGCCACTGTACGTAATAGATCCATTGAAATGGTGGAAGCTCTTTACAATATGAATCGGGTAAATCAATACTACAGTAACTTAGTCTGTAGCTATGTGTCATGAGGCTTATTGTATGTATTCTATCTTTAGTTTAAGAAATTAGGTATTGTTTGTGTGCTTGCATTTTTTTCATAGCTGATATATAGCTAAGAAAATATAGATGACATTTTTTTACAAATTGATATATTGATGGTCAGTTTCTACCTATGGAAGCTCAGACTTCTTTCTTCCTCTTCCTTTTCCCGATCTCCTTCTACCTTTTTTATTTATTTATTTATTTTTTAAAATGGGACATTATTGGATATTAAGCCAGGGCTGTCAGTTCACCAAATTGTAATGATTATGCCCCTATAAATCCACATATTTCTCTATATGTCTCAGTAAGTTAGCAAATTTAAGTCCTTGTTTACGTACTATTTTTTTCCTTCTAGTTATCATGAACTGACTTATTAATGTTGTTTAGATTTTTTTCTTTTAAGTGTCATTGAGATTTCAAGTTGTAATTTACAGGCATACCTTTCTCTGCCAGAGGGGACTGCTTCTGTTGTTGGTCTCATTGCAATGATGACAGATCACTATAATGTGTTGGTAAGGTCACAGCTAATTCCTGTTTGGTATTTTTTTTTTTATTTGACAAAATTTGTAAACAACTTGTGGTGTGAAAATCCCTTTTAGAAAAGCAAAATATTTTCAGAAAGAAGAGTGAAACTGTTCTGTTAAAACCCAAATTCAAAATCTATTCTCGTTATTGACCATGACTTCCTTATAGTGTAATATTTCTATCCCTTTTTCCTCAGCGACTATGATGACATTGCAAATGATATAGTTCCTGCTTACATTTGGATTTGCATATCTCTTTATGTTTGTTGAGACAGATTGATGTTTAGAAATGCTGAGTTCTTTACTTTGCTATTTTCTGCTCATGATATGTTTTATTGTTTTTGAGTATGTATTTCTGATTTGTAATTTTCTTGACGGGAAATTGACAGGAAGGGAGTGAGAGTGAAAGGGAGAGCAATGATGCACCAGGATCTCGAAAACCTGTGAAACGAAAGCGTGAAAAAGTTCAGCTTAGTGTCTCCAAAGATCCTGTCCAGTCTCAGTCAATTGCTTCCAGTGATGGTTGCCTCTCTCTATTGAAGAAGAGACGCTTTGATGGTAAAATACCCATCATAGTCCCACTCCCTCTCTGTTTTTTCCTCATGAAGTAATTGTGTTTGCCTTTCCACAAATTGTTTTTTTTCCCCTGGATGACAGAAGTTATTCTGTTTTAAATCCCTGAAATTGTAAAGTAGTAGTTATGTAGGAAATGGAAGTTAAGCTGACAAAGTTCATTCCTATTACAGAAAAATTCCTGGAAAGATTCTTATGAAAAATTTATTTTAAGTGTTTGGACTTCATTCTTCTAGTGGTAGAGTACCAACTGTTAAATATAAATACCATACATGAGCTTTCAAAGTTTTACCTAACAACTTAAGCTTTTAGGAGAATCGATCTTTGATATGGTATCATAGCTTCTACAATAGCGGTCAAGAGTTCGTTCCTTGTTGTCCCCGTCGTTTAAATAATTGAATTTGCACATCATAAAATGGCTTGTACATTGTCTACACTTCAAACCCAAAAGTCTCTTGTGTGAGAGTGTGTAAATATAAAAATCGTCCAGGAGTTTTCACCTACCGTCATAAGCTTTTGGTACCTTATTTATATGAGAAAAGAGGAAGTTTAGAAATTGTAATTATGCAATATGTTAAATCATGTGCCAGTTATCTTCAAGTTTTTTTTTTTTTTTTTCAGTTAGAATAAATGTAATTATCACCTTCATAAGGTTGTGGTTCAGCTGATGTCAAGTGCCATCATCAAGAGAATTTGATATGCTGAAAATTATGTTTATGCAATACTTTCTCAACATAGTGTGGTATTTGAAAATGCTCTTCATATATCATTTGCCTTCGTTAGGATTTGCTTTCCTATCTGTGAAAATTCCTTGTGGTTAAAATTTTGAAATTAAATAGTAGCAGTGATAAAATTACACTTTCTTGAATTACCCCTCCCTTCCAATGCATTTTTATTAACATAAAATGTGCAGGTAGGATACCTTCCTTCAACTTCATTGAACCTCATTTACTGAAATATGAGTAACACTATTGATTATTCTGAATTTCGAGTTTTGCTTATATACATGGAAGTAGATTTTTCATAATATGTAAAGTATTCTTAAGTGGGAAAAGGAATATTGACGGTTATTGAATGAATTAGGTATTCAGCCGCATGCTGTTGGGAAAAGGACACCTCGCGTCCCAGTTTACTACCCTTATAAAAAAGATGATGGGGAAAATTTTGTTTCACCTAATAAAAGAAGCCTGAAGTCAACTGTTGATACAAATGATGATGAAGTTGCACATGTTGCCGCTTTGGCATTAACTGAGGCTGCACAAAGAGGGGGCTCTCCCCAAGTTTCTCAAACACTGCATAGAAGAGCAGAGCAAAAGTCCTCTCCTGTTCAGAGATGGGGAAAAATGGTATTTAACTGTTCACCGACTTTTTCTGACGTTATCTTGTATCTGTTGGCTATATTATTGCTTGGAAAGATGAATTTGTGTTGAATAAGCATCAACATTCAAACACGATCTCAGGGAAATCTTTGTGGATGACTTGCTTGTGTTTGACACATTGTAGTTTAAAATGTTTAATTATTTTATAATTTGTCAACCAGCACCAAAAATCTGAGACAGCTCGTGCCAAGTTTCGTGATGCTTCTCCGGATGAAGAGTTCTTGGAAGGTAGTATAGAAAGCAGGGGAGCTGAAAATGGCGAAAATGCTAAAGATACTAGTTCCTTGATGGATATGGAAGACATAGGCACCGTTGAAGTTCTTCAGAAGGGGAAAAAAAATTACAGAAAGAAAGAGAGAGTGGAAAATGTTGGAAATCATCAGCTTGATGATGGTGGAGAAGCATGCAGTGGCACTGAAGAAGGACCTAGTTCTAGTTCTTTGAAGGAAAAGGTTGATATTGAGGTTACTAATGAAAAACTTGAGCAATTCTCTCTAAAAAGTCACAGAAACAGAAGCAAGAAACTCTTCTTTAAAGGTAATTCTGTCACTACACATATCTATGGAAATTGTTTGTGCAGCTTTTGGTTCCTTTTTCTCCCGTAGCCTTGGGGCAAGGTGAATGGTTGTACTTCTGTAAAATTGATTTTCCCTTTTCTTCCACATCTCTCTTAAGTGACTATATTTAATAACTTCATCCAACAGATGAAACGCCCTCCTTGGATGCTTTGCAGACTTTGGCTGATCTGTCTCTAATGATGCCAATATCTACAGTAGAATCTGGTAAGAATAAAGTCATTGATATATTTTTTAGTGTAACTGTAAGAGACATGGGCACACACACACAGAGGCGGATCCACTTAGGGGAGAAGGGGGGCAAGTGCCCACCCTTAAATATGATGTAAAAATAAAAATATTTTTTTCTTAAAATTCAAGTTTTTCCAGTTTAATTTTGGGGTAGAATATTATAACAATCAATTAGGTTACTACAAATGTTACTACCAATCAATTTTCAATTTTATCGTTAGAACGATTATGCTGATCCAACGGTTATATTTATTTTCATCTTTGTATGGTTATGATTTTCTATATTTAACGCTTTTACATTAAATATGGGGATCATAACCCTATAAAGATGAAAATAAATATAACCGTTGGATCAACTAATCGATCTAACAGTGAAATTGATTGGTAGTAACCCTAGTTGGTTGTTACAATATCCTACACCTTTAATTTCCCTCCTTCTAATTTATTTTCATGTGAGTTTTTTTTCTCCTCCACTTTCATTATCCAAACCTAATCTAGATCTAGATCTAAACCAGATCGAGCCAGCCGGCAGCTGCTCGTAAATCACGTTCAAGACCAGACCTTATTGAGTGCCCACCCTTTGTTATTTTTCTGGATCCGCTACTGCACACGCGCACACACACACACACACACACAGAGAGAGAGAGAGAGAGAGAGAGAGAGAGAGAGAGAGAGAGAGAGAGAGAGAGAGAGAGAGAGAGAGAGAGAGAGAGAGAGAGAGAGCAGTAGCCAAATTGGAAGATTTTCCAATTTGTAGTGCTTTCACATTTAACAAAACTACATAGTTGAGATTTATTTGCCTCATTTTGGTCCAACTTCATTGACATATGATTAATTGCACTTTTAAAATCTTATTTAATATTATTTGAGCTGAAATTTTTGCTTATTCAACTTAAATGGCCAGAACTAGAATCTCCTTGTTACTGCTGCCATTCGTGTTTGTTGCTTAGTCGTCACTGGGATTTTGCAAAACTCTCTTCTCTTCTATATCAGTCTAATCCATATTACTCAACTCCTCCCCCCCTCCCCCTTCCTCTTCTCTTTTCTTGTCCATCTAGACACCGTTGATGAAGATGATAAGTCTGCTTTGCCTGAAGCTACATCAACAAGCCATAAGAAATATAAACTGAAACTCCGTGTGGGCCCTGGAGTTGAGGCTTCAACCTCCAAAAAATCTAAACTCGGAAAGGAATCGGCAAATGATACTAATGTTATCTCTAAATCAAAAGAGCAGTCTCCTTTTGCTGATAGAACATGTAAAAGAAAACGCAAGTCTGTGGTTTCAAAGGTAAATACAGTTTATTCTTTTAATGCTTTATCATATAGATTTTACATTGTGAGTGCATTTGGTTTTGCTTAATTATTTCTCAAATACAGCTTTTTACTCAAAAAAGCATTTTCTCATGCAATGACCAAATAATTGGGTTAATAACTGATAAAGACCCAATTGAATCTAAAATATATTGTATATTCAAGTGTGTTAGTCTGTACAAGGAGGCTCTCTATTTATAGAGACTAAAAGACCTAATGGGATGACCTAATGGGCCAAGCCCACAATCTAGACTATTCTAATAATAATAAATTAATATTATTTCTAACACTCCCCCTCAAGCTGGTGCGTATATATCAAAAGCTCCCAGTTTGTTACAAATATTATCTATTCGGGGACCTCTAAGAGCTTTAGTGAATACATCCGCAAGTTGATCATTGGAATTGACAAATGCTGTCTCGATCTCCCTTGACTGGATCTTTTCTCTAACAAAATGACAGTCAATTTCTATATGCTTGGTCCTCTCATGAAAGACTGGGTTAGAGGATATATGCAAAGCGGCTTGGTTGTCACAAATGAGCTTCATAGGCCTTTGTTCACAGAGATGGAGTTCCTTCAGCAATTGACTCAGCCAGATGAGCTCACAGGTTGCATTTGCCATTGCCCGATATTCTGCCTCCGCACTGGATCTGGCGACCACAGTTTGCTTCTTACTCTTCCAAGAGATCAAATTTCCTCCGAAGAGAACACAATACCCTGAGGTGGATCGTCTATCTGAAGGAGAACCTGCCCAGTCAGCATCTGAATAACTAGAGATCTCTGAACTCCCTTTATTTGTATATAATAAACCTCTTCCTGGCGCCTTTTTAATATATCGGAGAATTCTAGTAACTGCATCCCAATGGGAGTCACAGGGAGAATCAAGAAATTGACTTGCAACACTCACTGCGAAGGAGATATCTGGCCTTGTCACAGTATGATAATTCAATTTTCCAACAGTCGGCGGTAGCGACTAGGATCTGGCAGTGGCTCCCCCTGTCCTGGTAATAACTTAACATTGGGGTCCATAGGTGTATCAATGGGTTTACAGCCTAACATGCCAGTCTCATCTAGGATATCCAGTGCATACTTCCTCTGACAGATGGAAATGCCCCGCCTAGACTGTGCAACTTCGATCCCCAAGAAATATCGAAGTCTGCCAAGATCTTTGGTCTGAAATTGATTGAATAAATGCTCTTTCAACTGATCAATCCCGGTCTGATCACTGCCTGTAATGATAATGTCATCAACACAGACCAGGAGATAAACGCACTGGCCAGAAGAGCTATGCCGGTAAAAGACAGAATGATCGGCTTTGCTTCTGATTAATCCAAAGGATTCAACAACTGAACTAAAGCGGCTAAACCAGGCCCGAGGAGATTGCTTCAGGCCATATAAAGATTTTCGAAGTTTACATATCATTCCAGAACTCCCCCCCTGAGCAACAAAACCTGGTGGTTGCTCCATATAAACTTCCTCCTGTAAGTCACCATGTAGAAAAGCATTCTTAATATCAAGTTGGAGAAGGGGCCAGTGATGAATGGCGGCAAGGGCAAGAAACAGGCGAACAGAAGCCATCTTAGCAACAGGAGAAAAAGGTATCTCCATAATCAAGACCAAAGATCTGTGTGTATCCCTTGGCCACTAAGCGAGCTTTTAGGCGATCAACAGTGCCATCAGGACCAACTTTAACTGTGAACACCCATCGACAACCAACAACAGACTTCCCGGGAGGAGCACGAACAAGATCCCAAGTGCCATTGGAGTGAAGTGCCTGCATTTCATCAAGCATCGCCTGGCGCCACCCTGGATGAGATAGTGCTTCACCTGTGGTTTTAGGGATGGAAACAGAAGAGAGACTAGAAACAAAAGTAAAATGTTGTGAAGAAAGTCTGTCATAACTCAAGAAAGAATAAAGGGGATGAGGATTTCGAGTGGATCAAATACCTTTCCGAAGGGCAATGGGAGGAGTCTCTGATGGAGGATCCGGATGAGAAGAGCCGACGGGAAAGGGCGATGAGTCATCAAGAGGCAAAGTCGGAGGAGGTGCAGGCTGACGACGCTGGTATGTGAGGAGAGGACGATCTGCAGGTATGGAGGTAATTGGTTGCTCCTCTGGAATAGGGTCACCTGCAGCTGGTAAAGACAAGTCAAGAAAAGGAACAGGAAGGACCTGATCAATTTGGGACACTGGAGACGGAGTAGAGTGAAAAGGCTGTTGATCAAGGAAAGTGACATCAGCAGAAACGATATAACGCTTGAGATCAGGAGAATAGCAACGATACCCTTTTTGAAAACGTGTATACCCAAGGAAAATACATTTGAAGGCCTTGGATGTCAACTTGTCTTTACCTGGAGTAAGATCATGAACAAAACAAGTACAGCCAAAAATATGTAAAGGCAGAGGATAAGAAGGTGCTCCGGAAAACAAAATACTGTGGGGAACATCATTATTTAGCACAGAAGAGGGCATGCGGTTGATAAGGAAACATGAGGTGATAATAGCATTTGCCCAAAAACGGAGTGGGACGTTCATATGAATGAGAAGGGTACGTGCAGTTTCAACTAGATGTCTATTTTTACGTTCAGCGACTCCATTTTGTTGTGGAGTGTGGGGACAGGTAGTCTGGTGTATCGTCCCTTGTGTATCCAGAAATTTAGAAAATTCAAGAGACACATACTCTTTTGCATTATCACTGCGCAAGATTTGAATAGAAGCACCAACTTGAGTTTTTATTTCTGCACAAAACTTTTGATAAACTGAAAATAACTCAAAACGATTTTTCATTAAATAAACCCAAGTGCAACGGGAGAAATCATCAATAAAGGTGACAAAATACTGAAAACCCAAAACAGACGGTGTTCGACTCGGACCCCAAATATCAGAATGAACAATAGAAAAAGGAGCATAAGCTTTTTTATTGACTCTATTAGCAAAGGAGGAGCGAGTGTGTTTTCCTTGCTGACAAGAATGACAGTTTAAAGAATTAAGATTGGATAAAAAGGGAACCATATGCTGAAGCTTGGAGAGGTTTGGATGACCCAGACGACTGTGAATTAGCTCAGGAGACTCTGTGAGAGAACAAGCTACTGGAGAAAGTGGTGCAATCAGATAGTAGAGACCTCGTGACTCAACGCCTGCTCCAATCGTCTTCCCCGTACCCGAATCCTGCATAGAAAAGGATTGTTTAGAGAAGGTAATAATAGTACATGAAAGAGAATGAATCAACTGGCTAATAGAGATTAAATTAAAAGGAATGCCAGGTATATAATAAACAGAACTCAAAGTTAAAAGGGGAGTTGGGTTGGCTTCCCCAATTCCACGAGCAGGAGCCTTAGTGCCATCAGCAAGAGTGACAGGGGGTAGGTTATTACCACAAAGATGATGAGTAGCACCTGAGTCTATTATCCAGGGTCCAAGAGATGATTGATAAAAACAAGCAACATGATTACCAGTGTCTTGAGTAGGATGCTGAGAATAAACCTTCTTGAGAAGTGCCTCATAGTCGGCACTTGAAAGAGTTATTAATCCAGTTGAAGGTGGCGTAACATCAGTTTGAGCAAATTTGGCAGACGGTGGCTTCAAATGAGGGTACTTCCTATAGCAGCGTTCTTCAAAATGCCCAAGATTCTGGCAATAATTGCAACGAGGCCTCCGTCTGCGGCCGCGTCTGCGACCGCGTCCACTGTTCCAATTGGAATCACTGGCCCGAGAAAAGAATGGAGATGAGGTAGTACCGGAGATGATACCGGTCATGTTTTTGGACGCATTATTTGAGCCCTCCATCACAAAATAAAAGGAGATGACCAGAAAATAGCAAAAAACTACAAGAAAGCAAGAAATCGCGCAAAAACGTTGCACAAAAGTGTCCAAACAGCGGGTTTTTCACTGATATCTTTCAAACGGATGGGACCCACAACGAACGGAGACCAGATCTGGAAAGAGGGTGAGGAGGCGAGCAAGATGGTGGTGGTCCGGCCTGGAACGGTGGCCGGACGGTGGCTCACGCGCCGGAACAGTGGTTCGGCCGCTGGAGACTTCCACCGGCGCGTGGCGGCGCGTGGATGCTCCGATCAACACGCGGCTTGGACAGACAGAGTCGCCTCCCTGAGCCGCTCCTGATCGCGTGGTGGTTGGTCGGAAAAGTCGCCGGAAAAGCAGTCTGACGGCGGTGAACAGTGGCGGACGGTGGTTTTGTGACGGTTTCCGGCGATGAACGGAGGCTGACGATCTTTTTCCTGATGATACGAGGTTGAGGACAAGAAATTTGTGACTAAATAAGGGTTAGGTGTGAAAGGATGGTTGCCGGTATGATGCACGGCAGTAAAAAGAAATGAAAAGATATATATGCGGAAGCAGAGCCCTCAGATCGAGAGCTCTGATACCAAATTGAATCTGAAATATATTGTATATTCAAGTGTGTTAGTCTGTACAAGGAGGCTCTCTATTTATAGAGACTAAAAGACCTAATGGGATGACCTAATGGGCCAAGCCCACAATCTAGACTATTCTAATAATAATAAATTAATATTATTTCTAACAGACCCAATCAATAACAACAAATTACACAACACAAATAATGGTTCAAATGAGAAACAGAGCTTGTATAAATGGTATTAAACTCAACATTACAGATAATGGACAACTGATTACAAGAAACAGTAAATTGACTGAAATGAAGGAAATTACAAGCAAAATGGAAATGAATAATGTAGAGCAATTAGAGAGGCTCTACACTCTCCCAAGTACAAGGTCCAAACCAGATTCCAGAGGCCTCCATCCGGCCCCACACCTTCCCTAATTAACCACCCTTACCTTACCTCTTATGCCACCCATTCTGTTAGAGTTAGTTGTATTGGGTTGCAACTGATTTGCTGAGTCAACAGAATGATTATTCCCCTACAAAGTTTCCTCACATGCACCCTTAAAGCTAGGATCATATCAATACCAAAAAGCTGTTGCAACATTTTTATAAACTATAACTGATTTTTAGAATTAGCTCAATTTTGGGCATTAAAATAATGGGTAATGCTACACAGACAAAATAGAATAGCCATAATTTGACAGAATTCAAGGGTGGTTGTTTGATAGAATAAAGTGGCTGGGACTGCTCACCCATCCAAGATGCTACATCATTTTGGCAAAAAATTCTAGCTCTCTTTCATTTTTCTAAATTATTCCTGAAAATGATTATTTTAGATTATTTTAAATTTTTTTCAGATAAATACAATTTTACCCTTAATCAAATAATACCAATCATTCCATATGTCATTTGGTAATTTAATATATGAAAGTGATTCTTTTTATAGAGTCCAGAGTCTTAAAATCATTTACGGATTAACATATTGATACATCCCCTCCTAAAATGCAAGTCTACCTTAGGCAGAGGTGTCGAGAATTACATTCACATGCTGACTCAGCCAAGGAGGTCAAGTCTGTTAGGGAAAATGGATATGTTGGTATCTAGAGGAAGGGGTGAAAGGAGGGACTAGAAGCTCTCGTAGGGATTCTGTTTTCCATCCATTGTTCTTGTTACTTGTTTAATCTTTGTAATTTCCATTTCATCAAACACTGGTGATAGTTGAACTGTTCATTTTTTGTTTGAATCAATACAAGTTGTTCATTTCTATGTTGGAGTTTGAATTCTGAGTTAGAGTTGTTACGCATATCCAAACAAACAATTTTTCATATTTGATTTTGTAAAAATTGATTATACGCATAATCATTCTTTAACATAATCTTTTTTTCAGGGCTAATTATTGTACAAAATTATATAAGATATATGCTAGTCATATGGTTTTACAAATGGAAATAAGAAAGTTTAAATTTTTAGGAGTGATGTGATGACGATGCATGATCATGATGTTAGAAATATAAATATAAGAACTATTCACGTGCCTTCACCTAGCAGCTTAAGTTTTTAGGAGAATTGATTCATGAAATAGTATTAGAGCCTCTGTGACCAAATGGTTTAGTGTTCGATCCTTGCTTATTATCTTTTAATTACTAGGTCTCACTCCCCTTGTCTTTTGCTTGATACTAAGAAGCTATGAAGCATGGAAACTCACATGGACACATGACATTTCATGGCAATACAGCAAAATTTAGAGTATCTAGGTGTTTTCTTGAAGTGTCTCATGGTGTCTAACACAACTTTCCCTTGTTAAACATGGCTCCTTTTTTGAAGTATCGTGCCTTATAGCTAAGAGGATAATTCCGGATAATTGTGAATCATGAGTTCTTAAACAGCAATCAGGGCATTCAAAAATGTTGGGTTGAATTTATCCTTTTTGTTTTATTCTTTTGTTGTTGTATTTATTAATGATAGTATTGCCTTATAAATATCAGAATACTAATTAGAAAGGTCATTTGACTTCAAATGCTTATTATATCTTGTGGAACAATGTAATGTAGTCATCTTAGTATCTTTCTTGTCACTTCCTCAATTATTATTTTGATCCAATAAATGTTATTTCATCTCTGCTGTCTGATCTAGAATTTGTCAATTCAATGATATTTGCAGCTACTCAATTAATGAAGGAAGCTTTTATTCTGTTGCAGGTTGCAAATGCAAAGCTTGATTCTACTCCAAGTAATCCCTTGAATAATGAGGTATGCAAATTTTTTATTTTTATTATCCCTGGAATGTATATGTTTCTGTGTGTAGAAATCTCTGCCGAAGTGAATCAAGTTTTATTGTTATGTGAATATTATTTTCCCCTTCAGAATTATCTAAGACTCTTCCAGTGACAAAGGGTGGAATGAGTAGTATAGATAATCTTATCAATTAAAAAAAATAGTTCCAGGAATTATGTCTTCTATCTGATTTAAAAGTTTGCAAAAGTTTTAAACTATATTTAGATGTAACTATGGTTCTATTTGGCAAACTGATTAGTCTGTTTTAACTTGGCATCAATGTTGTTAAAACGTAGAGTCTATGTAAAAACGGTAGGAGTGAGCAAAAACGTAAAATCGCAAAACGTAAACAAAACGTAAGAGTTTACTAACGTATTAAAAATAAAATATATATCCAACATATATAATACCAAAACCCACAAACATGTTTATTTTATAAGAATGTCAATTTTAATTTATATAGAATAATTTTAATGTATTAATTATATAAGTTATTAAATTTAAGCTAATTAATGACTAAAAATATATATAATTTTTTTTATTATTACGTGTTATATATATGGAGAGAGATCATTTGACTCCATAGTAAGATTTATAAATCTTACTCCTCATCTCAGCTCTTGATTTCCGTCCATCCAATGGTTATAGTTTAGGAAGTCATATTAATTAATTAATTATTAATTATATTACAAATGACAACCGTTGCTTTTCGTCCATCAACGGTTAAGATGAGGAGTAAGACTTATAAGTCTTACTCTGGGTCAAAAGAACCCTCCCCTATATATATATATATATTTGAACTATGCAAAAAAAAAAATCATATTACATTTCGACACTACGTTTGAACCGTTTCTACGTTTCGACACTACGTTTGAACCGTTTCGACTCAAAACCCGTTTCAACTACCGTTTTGACTCGATTTTGGTCATAAAAACGTAGACACGGTCCGTTTTTACGTTTCGACACTACGTTTTTACAACACTGCTTGGCATCAAAATTTGGTTGGTTTATTCTTTTTATGGGAGTTTAAATGCTTATTTACTGCCCATACTTTAAGGGCACAAGTGCTTTGTGCCCCCTCCTCCTCACACATAAGACATGAGGAAGGCTTCATATGGGAGAAGTGCTTTACTGTGGGAGTTGATAGGATATGGGTCTGCAATGGATGGTCTAGACTCTAGAACTCTTGATTAAAACACCACATAAGTTGTCACTAGATCAAATAAAAATTCATCTTAACTTCTGTTATCCTTATGTTACGAAGGGGCATTGTATTTTATTTTGGGCATAGCTGGGTGTGTGATCCAACCTGAAAAGATTGCAGTGTGACTTGGCAAGGAATTTTCAAGGATATATGGTGGAAGCAGGGGGATCATGCTGATATGCCCATGGCCGCAACTACCACCTACATATTGTAAAATCAGTAGTTAGTTCTTGAAATATTGTAAATCTCAGTCATAGTGGGTGTTTGGGTGTATTGCAATCAGGGTTTAAGTGTTAAGTGGCCATAGTCGATAATAGTGAATTTTCTCTCTTTCGCCTGATGATGTAAGCCTATAGTTTACTATAGGTTGAACCATATTAAGTTCAATGTCTATTTCTCTTCTCTCTATTCTTTGCTTGTGCACCTGTTTACAACACCTTACTGTCATTGCTTAATTTAGTAGATGTCATAAGATCAGATTCCTCTCATAATCAATACAGCATCTTTATATGATATGCTCACTATATTTATATTGATAGATAGGTACAGATAGGCACTGGAAGAAATTCACTGATAAATAATAGAATACACTCACATGAAATCACAATAATGTGAAGCTAGATGCCAGTCCAGGTCTTTTTATTTGACATTATATCATATTGCCAATTGTCATAGAAGTTAAGTTGTTTTATCTTCTCCGATCCTTAAAAGATGTTTGGGACGTATTTATAATGTACTTATGAAAAATGTTGCGCATGCCCTGTAGGCTGTAGATGATGAGAACAAACCAGTGATCAAAGGAAAACACATTGGTCAGGTTTTTCTGCTACCAAAACAATTGAAGAAGGTCAGATCATCAGAGAGTTCCCTGTGTAGTGATCAGAAAGATTTGACAGTATCAACTGCAGAAGTTCCCCTTTTGAATGAAGTTGGTTTACCAACTAAAAAAAGAAGTAGACGTAAGATGATTTCACAAAGAACATTCATGTCTAGAGAGAAGTCTTCCGAGAACATATTGAAAAGTCAACCTAATAAGTACTCTAGCCTAAAGGTACAGGGTTTTTCATAATTTAAATTGTTCTTCGTTCTCAAACTTTGAGAGGCTTTAAGGAATTTTTTTTTAATAAAATAAAATAATTTCCTTTGTAACTTGCAGGAAAAGGTTTCTAGTTGCTTGTCATCTAAATTGTTTCGTAGATGGTTTACTTTTGAATGGTTTTATAGCGCAATTGATTATCCATTTTTTGCCAAAATGGAGTTTGAGGAGTATTTAAATCATGTTGGACTAGGGGATATCCCAAGGCTAACTCGTGTTGAATGGAGTGTTATAAAAAGGTATGAAATTCAACTGTGGTTACTATGGTCTACAGCTGAACATTGTGAAAGGTATAATATGTAATCGTGAAGGACCTATTTGACATTGCAATATTGCATTCACTTGTTGGTGCAGTTCCCTTGGCAAACCTCGCAGGTTTTCTAAACATTTTCTAAATAAAGAAAGACAAAAACTTGAACTGTATCGGGAAACAGTGAGGAAACATTACACTGAAATGCGAACTGGCATCAAGGATGGACTTCCAACAGATTTAGCTAAACCATTATTTGTTGGACAGCGAGTAATTGCTATGTACCCAAAAACAAGACAGATTCATGATGGTAGTGTGCTTACAGTTGACCATGACAAGTGCAGGATTCAGTTTGACTGTCCTGAATTAGGGGTTGAATTTGTCAAGGTAATATGATTTCTTATCATGCTAAATATGAATACCATTTTTCAAGAGATGGTTTCAAATCTAAGACCAAAACCATCTTCACCAGTATATATAAAAATCTTTATATGCAACATGCTGTAATATATAATAAAAAAGGCTGCTTGATGTTATAAAGCTCCTTCTATGTACGGCGTCTACGGGAAGTGTCAGAACTACTATGTGCATCTGTAATAGGGGCAGCCTTATGTTGCATTCGGAAGAGGCTGATTGCACAACTCAAACCTATGGGTTACGTTGTGATAATTCCAACCATTGCACCAAGGCTCCCCTTCCAGCCTTCCTAAACCAAACCAAAACCACTCCCTATTAAACCCGGCTAGTGAGTGTGGGGTCCAGCCTTCCTAAACAATCTATTAAATTTTATCTCCCAGTTGAAGGACATTGACTTGATATTTGTGAACTATATAAGCAAAAACAATCTTTATGTGCCACATCCTGTAAATAAACAATCTAAGGCTTAGTATTTTTTTCCTCCCAATGGAAGAAAATTAACTTGATATTGTGAAATCTGAAACTGGTTTTCACATTTTCTTGTTTTTAATGAGTGAAATTTTTGGTTCAGGACATTGATTGCATGCCTGTGAATCGATTAGATAATATGCCAGAAGCTATGAGGAGGCAGATTGGTGCCAGAAAAGGCTCTTTTATGATTAAAGAGCCACAGATTAATGGAAATTCAAGTTTTGGGGGGTGCGAAATACATGCTTCACCTATGAAGGTACACCCCTCTTCAAGTGCTTTAGTAAAGGAAGGAAAGGTTAGATTGCTTATCAATAAATAGTATCAATGCACAAATACTACACCTCAGAATTCTCTATCCTTAATAATATCCTGATTTCCACTGCCACTGATGAAATGTTGATGTTAGAAACACAGAACATTATGTTCTCTAAGAATTACTTTTTATTTCATAGTTTCATTAAAATCTTGCAGGGGGATGTTAACTATGTCGTTGCCCAAACAAAGGCTGCTACTATTGATAACCTCTGCACACAACCAGCAGTTTGTGCTCAACCGTGTAAAGTGACACACCATAAAGCTAAGGAAGCTGATATTCATGCACTTTCTGAACTAAAGCGTGCTCTAGATAAAAAGGTTTTTATGCACATAATTGATACTTTTTGTGCAGTACTTTTGGATATTGTTTTACTTTCCATTTTCATGCACCCTTTTCATGTAGGTACTTTCTAAATGCATAATTGGATTCATCTATCTTTATATGTAACTTTACCTTGGTTATTGGTGGTCTTGCTAACTTTTTAGTTTGCTCTTACAGGAGACATTATTAATGGAGCTTAGAAATGCAAGTAGTGACATATTGGAAAATCAAAATGACATAGAGTGCTTTAAAGATTCTGAGGCTTTCAAGAAGCATTACGCCACGGTACTTGTAGAGCTAAAGGAAGCCAGTGGACAGGCATGTGGCTTCCATGGATTATTTCTTTCATTACAAAATTCTGCATTAACCTTAAGCAAAATTTGATTTGTTATCATTTTCAGGTTTCTGATGCTATGCTTCGCTTGAGGCAACGCAATACTTACACAGGAAACTCCCTGCCACCATGGATGAAGCCCCAGACAAGTTTCAGTGTTCACGACAACCTTCCTAGTATGTTGGATAATTCTCTAGCACAAGAGTTAGGGTCAACTGTCATTGACATTATTAAAGGATCCAGGCTAAGGGCACATGCAATGGTGGATGCTGCATTTCAGGTATGGATTGGAGTCATTGTATACTATACATAAAATGGTTTTTACCCTTCTTGTTTTCTCTCTACATTGGGTGATTGGAGAGCATTTTAATATTCTTTTATCCTAGCAAGTAGTTCTCATTGTTCTTGATCCAGTATTACCTAGTTACAAGTAATGATGTATTGTTGTTTAGCCACATTCTTAAAAAGATCAAAATGGACATAAATCAGATGAAATGGTCGCTCTGGACTGTAGTGGAACACTATATACATTGGAACATCATTCAAGTATTATCTCAAGCCCTAACCTTCTTAACTCTTGGCACCTTTTGATGCAATAATTCAGGCATTGTCTTTGACAAAGGAAGGTGAAGATGCTTTCACGAGGATTGGACAGGCGTTGGATTCTATTGATCATCAGCAGTTGGCTTTCAAGTCTAGGTTGCCTATGATCAGGTCCCAGGAGCAAGTGAATGGCAGTTTTTATCATCATAATCGGTCAACTTGCTGTGCATCAGACCCTTTACTTAATGATGCATCTGGTCCAAAACAGCATAACGATTCTGATAAAGCTGATATTGAAATTCCATCAGAGCTCATCACTTCATGTGTTGCTACATTAATCATGATCCAGGTGAATCCCCTATGTGATTGTAAAAGTAAAAATGTGTTCTTTGTCATACTCTTTAAGTAATGGCCCCAATAATTATGAGCTGCACGTCTAATTGGGTTTTGTGTTTTCATCTTGCCTTTCAACTTTAGGAGACGTTTATCATGATGTTTTTGTCCCCCTCCCCCATCTTGAGAATACAGCAAATACAGCATACGTTGGTTTGCATTATTGAACAAATCTTATTAACCAAAATTAACTAATATTCTTTAACTTGCAGACTTGTACTGAACGGCAATACCCTCCAGCTGATGTGGCTCAAATATTAGATTCTGCCGTTACCAGCCTGCATCCATGCTGTCCTCGAAACCTTCCTATTTACAGAGAAATTCAAATGTGCATGGGAAGAATTAAGACCCAGATTTTAGCTCTCATCCCCACTTGACTTCTATCTTTGTATATAGAATGCTGAACTATTAGTTCAGATCAGATAGGAGCTCCTCACCCACTTGGTAATTTATGTCCTTATTTTTTGGTACAATAATTTGTCTTTTATTTCACATCAACAGGGTCAAATGGTGGTATTAGAAATCATGTAATTCACCACTGTCTTTAAATTCTTGGTGTCAAATGATAATATTTAATAAAAATATTAAATAAAAAAAGTATTTAATATCTTAAAATTCCATAAAATATTAGATATTTTTCTTCAAGTAATAGTAGAGTACTAAATACTATTTTTAGTTTGCCAAAAAAAATACTATTTTTATTCCTTAGTGTGCGTCTTTAGAGCAAACGTTAGCAAATATATATATAAGCTTGATGAGCTATGCTTGAATTGCAATTCTCTGTAGATGAAAACTGCATGTTTCAATAAATCTTGCTCAAAAGATATTATTGAAGGGAGCACGTCATGTGTACATCATGCTCATAAAACTTGTACATTAGTGGGAACATGATTGGTGTTTCATAGTAATGAATTAGAATTAATTTGTAACGAGAAAATAATATTAACCATTTTTGCTCATATAGACTGTAATGCATCCTTTTTGTAATACTCGGCCGCTTCAAGAATCAATGACTATCCTCACATACTAACATGAGATTTTTCAGCGTGCTTTATCCTCACTCACACACTTCCTGGGAAAAACTTTCCAGGAGGTCATCAATTCCAGAATTGCTCCAAGTCAAGCACGCTTAACTATGAAGTTCTTCCATTTCGGGCTATCAAAAAGTAGATGCATCTTGTTAGTATAGGTAGTACCACTTAATTCTTATAAAGTATTCCCAACTGTGCAGTCTCATACCTGCATAGTCTTTGAAATTTCTCTCTTTCGGGTGTCGATTCGAGTCATTCATGTAACCCCTGCTGGAAGCCTGCCAGGAGTCGCTCCTTGTCTGTGCCCTTTCGCACCGGTGATCACTCCCCGCCCTCGTCAGCGCTCAGGATGTTACATAAGAAGAGAAAACTCTCGTCGGGCCACTGAAAATACTCGAAAGAGATGAGAAGAAGCTGAGAAATAAGTCTATTCCTATGGTGAAAGTTCAATGGGAAGGAAAGACACCTGAAGAGTCCACTTGGGAGCGAGAGGACGAGTTTCTCCGGCAATATTCTGAGTTTAAGGATATGCATGTTCTTGATTTTGCGGACAAAATTGCTAAAAGATGGGGTGACTATAATAGCCCTAACCTGATTAATTAGTAAATTACATGTAATTAAGCATGTATTAGTAGGTTGAAAGAAGTAAAATATCTAATTAAATAAATTAGGGTCATTTTTTAGGTAAAAAGTGCAATCAGCGAAAATTATAGGGTAAAAATGTGTGTAGACAAAAGTACCCAAAATGTAAAAGTAAAATTAGAAATGTTCCTACAAAAATATTTTAGACTTTGGGTAAAGTTTGAAAGAGAACGAGCTAACTAGATAGATAAGTTTTTACCCGATGGAAATAACTTAAACTATGTAAGTGTTAAAAAATAGAATACCTCCTTCATTTTCTTTCTTCTTCTTTGTGTAGCCAACACCGAGAGAGAGGGAGAGAAGCCATAGCCATTGAATTCCAAAACCTAACTCTTCCATTTCTCAACCAAATCTCTTGATTCTTGGACTAATTTTGCTTGGAATTGTGAGGCAAATACAACTCCTAATCTATAATCTACCAAAAAGTCCTGCATTGAGAGAAAAAAGAAGAGGAAAGTGGTGCCCTAACTTGAGATTGGTGGACTTGGAGCGACCCATTGGTTGATTTAAAGCTTGGAATCTACTCCATAAGTGATTCAAAAGCTATCCATGGTAAGAAATCCCACTTTCCTTGAGTTTTGTGATGTTGGGTATGTTAGGGTTCCATTTCATGAATGTTCATGTATGATGGGATAGTCTAGAAGGCGATCGAGGCTTAGTTCCTTTGGAAAAGTTGTTCAAATGATGATTTAATCGGTAGAAATGAGCTTAGATCGTCATTTGGGCATACTATGATATTTTCAAAAATTCAAGCTTGGTTTGTGAGTTTCCTTGCCTTCCAATTCATTGATTGATTGGGTGATTCATTGTGTCCATGTTGTGGATATGGGCTCGCCTCTATTTATATTTGAAGTTTTGGGCTCAGATATGGGTTTCGTGCATTTATTTCCTTATTCTTCATCGATGTATCTGGCTTGGATATTGGCTTCATACATTTTTTTTTTATTCTTAATTTCTTAGAATATAACTAACTTATTTGCTAACTCAAGGCTGACTCATGATTGACTCATTATATCTAATCAAATTACTAATCAAACTTTACCAATCAAACATTAATGCATAAATCATCAAACAACTAATAAATCTATTAATCATAATTTATCATCTAATATATATATATATATACATATTAATATTATTTTATTAAAAATAATATAGATTATTACAAAGTATCAAAATTGTTTTCCAATAGCACTCATATCGCACATATATCGCACAAAATAATTTTATCAAATGTAAAATTAATATTATACTTTGTTATCTATCACCATAAAATTTATATATATATATATATATATATATTATTACTACTAATTTATAGTTTATTATTATTATTATTATTTTAATAAAAATAAGGGGTATTACAGCATCTCATCTAGGATTGTAGATGTATATGTATATTTTGAGGTCACATGATGTGTATGTCATCTACATGGCACATGATGTTTCTCCCCCTCTTAATTATGATCAAGGAGGGAGGTTCCCGTTAATATAAATAGGAGATGATACAATAATTGGGCCAGGTTATTTTGTCCATAATCTAAGATATCAAGTGATTTATTACTCTTTTTATGAGTAATATTTGATACAGAATTACAATCAATCATTGATCCTAGTTTGTTTCCACTAATAGCTTAAACATTATTACTCTTTTTATGAGTAATATTTGATACAACATTATAATCAATCATTGATCCTAATTTGTTTCCACTAATAGCTTCAACACACAAAGACAATTTATTATTATTAATTTCTTTTTTTAATCAAAAATGGAGGAACAGTGACCAAAATGCCACTGTTCACGTACTTATTTATCCAAATGTCACGCGAACAGTGTTATTTTTCAATATGCCACGCGTGTAAGTTCGCTACAGTGCTCAGCGAACTTGGTTTGCTAAATGGCACGTTTCTGATGGACATCAAGTTCGCTACTGGGAGTAGCGAACTACGTTGCAATAAATGCACCTGCACACTCCATCTGCCATGCCACATGGCAGACATGCAACAAAGTTTGCTGCAATAGGCAACGAACTACGTGTAATAGCTAGTAGGCCACGTGTCTGACATGCATCAAGTTCGCTGGAGTGGGTAACGAACTTGGTGCAACGGCTACCCATCCCTTGTCTATATAAACCCCCTCCCCCCATTCCCCCCACCTCAAATTTCTCTCCCTCTCACTCTAACTCTCACTCTTTCCTTTTTCTCTCTCATTCTCTATCTCTCTCTACAATAGCAAGGTTAGTAATTTAAATATTATTTTTTTTGCAGTTTTTTAGTATTAGTTATTTGATATTACTTATTTATAAGATGAAACCTTAGGTTAGAAGATTAATTTTATTATTGAGACAATAGGATAGAATTTGTATATTAATGTTATTAGGTTTAGTATTTTATATTTATATATTATTTATGCATTATTTAATAATTTTAATTGTTTGATCTTATTTATAGGTAGAAAACTTAGGATAGAAGAATTTTATACTAATGTTGTTAAAGTTAGTATTTAATAATTTTTTAATTATGCATTATTTAGTAATATTAATTGTGCCATATTATTTATTTATAGGTTGAAAACTTAGGTTAAAAAGATTTTATATTAATGTTGTTAAAGTTAGTATTTAATAATTTTTTAATTATGTAATTTAATAATATTAATTGTTTCATATTATTTATATATAGGTTTAAAACTTAGGTTAGAAGAATTTTATATTAATGTTTTTAAAGTTTGTATTTAATAATTTTTTTGATTATGCATTATTAATAATATTAATTGTGTCATATTATTTATTTATAGGTAGACAACTTAGGTTAGAAGAATTATTAATTTTGTTAGACCGTAGGTTAGAAGCTATGTATATTAATATTGTTAAAGTTAATATTTAATATTTAATTAATTAATTACTTATGTATATTAATTGTTTATTTATCTATAATGATGTAACTGTAATATAATTTTTTCTATAAATAGATCCAAGGAGCAGCAGGACCCACACCAGAGTGTGATCGACCCTGGTCCTTCCAACCGTTCTCTCCTCACGTTGCACATTTCCATTCATGTGTGGAACATATCTAAGGACCCAAATGTACATGATCGTGTGCTTAATGTCAGACACGCCGCTACACACGATCACCTTGTTATGTTGCGATTATAGTTCAATTATGTTTTCAATTTTAATAAGTAATTACTGCTTTGGAAACAGATTGATCATTCACTTATATCGGCTCTTGTTGAGAGATGGCAGCCGGAGACGCGCACATTTCACATGCCTATGGGTGAGGTTACAATAACCTTAGAGGATGTACACCATCTCCTGGGATTGCCACAGATGGTGAGGTTATATGTGGCCGTGCTGGAGGCCATCCTTTTAAGCAGATGATTACAGATTTATTAGGAGTTGAGCCAGTGCGGCATCAGGATTTTCATAAGAACCAGTTATCCCTCAGCTTTCTTTGAGAGCGTTTTCAGCATTACGCTGAGCATGCTAGCACTGAAGTTGGCCGCATGAGATACACACATGTGTTGATCATGCGCATCCTAGGGGGGATGTTGTTCGTCGAGACTACATCCAGCTTTGTACCAGCACGATATTTATTATTTCTGGACAATTTCCAGCGGACAGGGACATTTTCTTAGGGTTCGACCGTACTTGCATCCTTGTACAAGGAGTTGTGCAAGGTCACAGAGCCGAAACGATCCGACATGGGAGGATATGCTCTGTAACTACAGTTATGGGCATAGACGCGTTTCTCGACTATCTCGCCTGGTTTCCCTGATGTGATTGTAATACAGTTTTTATTGCTACATGTATAGTTGTCTACTTTATACATTGTTAATATTGTTCGGTCATTTCCTTTGCAGATTTAATGTGTATACGGCGAGACAGATCGTTTACACACATCAGACGTTATCGTCACCACATCGACATTATGCCTAGACGCAGGATACGGTGGAGGTCATACCATGGATTCCCTACACATCCGCCTACGGCTGACAAGTCCCGCAAATGGTTAGTTGTATGTCCACTCATACACTACCAGATTATTGTGTACCATCAGCCGAATAGAGTTCTCCGACAGTTTGGTTTGCTTCAGCCGATCCCTAGTGATCCTTTATCATGTTCTTAGCTGCTGACCGTCACCCTTACCGGTAAGGGTGATGTGGATTGGAGGAACCGTCACGGTCTATACATTGCGCAGTGGCATTTGGGGGACGCCCTCGTTGTTCAGGGGGTTCAGCCAGACACATCGGACGACCATCTGTCGGTGAATAGTACTTACATTCAGTGGTATTTCCAGCATACTCATCGGTGGATGACCCAGAGATCGGCGATTCATTCGCATGTGGTAGGAATTTGGTTTTCATGTTATTTCTGTTTTAATTGTTTATAACGTTGATTGACTAATTTAACATATTTGGCTTATTTATGAAACGCAGATTGATTGTATGGAGATGGTTGTCCATATGTCATCAGACGAGGCGAGGGATTCGTTCTCCTACCGTCAGATATACCAGGAGGCGGTTCAAGCTCTATCTGCCTTCTATGAGTTCGGTAGATTGACAGACCCTGGAGAGCCTGCACCCCTGTCCGCCATTGTTTAGACAGTGGAGCCTCCCCGTCCTGAGCATTGTAGCCAATGTGCACGCCACGAGGGTTACCTCTACGTTATCAGACTCCGCCTGATGCAGATCGGCGGGTGATTTTGCAGTCTCTTCCTCCCCATCCCTTGGGGATGTTTTATGCATCGGGGTACCCATGTGGGCCATCGCAGCAGTACTGGTGGCCGCCACAGTATGTCCCAAGCACATCCAATAGTGGTCAGCAGGGATTCCCACCATCGCAATACCCATCTTGGTTTTCAGCCCCATCCATGCCACAGCGGGGATTTCCGCCGCAGACATATCATTCGTTTCCAGGCCATAGCAGTGGACAGTCCATGCCGCAGGAGAGATTTCCAGCACATACGCCACGTGTTTCCAGGCCAGTCTAGTTCACATTCGGATCACGGTCTTGACGAGTTTACAGACCACTGTTTGATGCCCCTGTCATGGCCACACCGCAGACATACTCAACGAATTTCCTCCAATCACCACATTCAGGGCCTACGGGGGTCATTTCACAGGAGGATATTGCGGGGGCTATGGAGAGTGTTGACGATATGGATGATGATTCTTCTAAGGATGGAGACTCGTGGGGAATCTAAAATGAAGAAGTAATAGATTCGGCGAAACTTGAACTTGATTTGTAATAAGATCGATAACGATGAGAGAGAGAGAGAAACTAGTACTCGTGGATGTTGAGGCGGCGGAGCTGGTGGTGCTACCATTTGCCGGCGACAGATAAGGAGCGTGAGACGAGCTACTTGAGCAATCCTCTTACCATTCTCGTTATAGTGTTATGGTTTTGAAGATCTTAGACTCACACGATCACATTGGATTCGATTCAATTCTAGGGTGAGAGAGAGTGCATCTGCCTCTTCGCTCCTTCAACCATAAACCACTTTCTAACAATGTGAGCTGACAACACCAACCTATGTGTAAATGGGCTGAGTGGGCCAAAATTTGGTTTGCTTTAAACTTGATTTAATAAATAGAACGAGTTTAAGTTTTAAAAAAAATTTGTTTAGCCAACAAGTATAAACTATTTTAATGAGGTTTGAACTGGCCTAATATATTATTATAATAAATAATAATATTAGTATTTATTTTTTTAAAAGACATGAAATTATGTTATTTTAGTTAAAATTACAGTTTTTTAAAAGAGATGGACAATGAAAAACACTCGTTTTAACTAAAATGATCATCCTTTAAAAAGATAAATATTTTTTCCATTGATAATATATTTTTATGTCACTAAATCATTAACCCTACTTTTTTAACTCTATTTTTTTATTATTGTGTATTGGCATTCTCTTACGGTTACAATTTCACAAACAAGCTCTCTCACTATTGGTCATTCCTTTCCTCCCTTAGTCACCTATAGAATTTGATGCATTTATAGTCTCAACATTTGGACGTATATGAGTTTGGAAAAAAATACATTTTATAATTATAAATGAGCCAAGTCAAACTCAAGTCTAGCCTTTAATTTTTTATAAACAAGCCAAGCCTAGAATTTAGCTCATACCAGGTTAATGAGCCAAGTCAAGCTCAAAATATTTTTTATAGGCTTGACTCATTTAAGCTAAACCTTAGCTAAAAAAAAAAAAAAAACATTAGCTCGACCGAACTCATTTACATCCCTACCCATACCCTAGAATTTCTTTTTTTCAACTTGGAATCCAAATGTACCACTGTTGAGAATGAATTTTAGAAAGAAAGAATGATATTGGGAAAGTCAAAATAAAGTTTAAAACATAATATGATTTTAAATGAATGAGTGAATTATCCATCCATTTGCATTATGGACCAATCCATTTGCCAGGCAAGTGACGCATTAGGTAAAGAGGAGTTCATTATAATGCAAGTATAGCAATATGAACTCGCAAAGTCATCAGAAAAATATTGAATCATAATGGAACTGAAAATACCTTTTACTTACAACCATCCAACGTTTTGCCGCGAGCGGCTAAAAATTTACTCTATTAAAGGTCCTTTCCTTTCCCCCTCCTTGATTTCTATTAGCACTGAACACAAATATTGCATATGTGCCGGCACAAAGGAGAAAATGATGATTTGGTCAAGTTGTTTAAAGGAAAAAACTGAATCCTCAATTTACAGACTTTTCTCTCTACAATTGCTTTCCCAAAAAAGCAAGCGAGCCCACAGCTGAAAGGTACCCATCCAAGCAAAGACTATGCAAATAAGAGTCCTTTCCAAAGCTACCAATGCAATTCTCTTCATTTAAGACGGTGGCCATATATCCCAATTAGCCTAACAAGAATCTGAATACATCACCTAAGGAAATGATCCCTTGCACGCGCCTGCTTCCAGCCTCCACAATCACAAGTCGTCTAACCCCTGTAAAGTGAAGATAATTGGTGACCAACCAAAATATTTGTTTTTTCTCTTTTGTTTAAGAAAGTGGAAAAGGGTTTGCTAGTAAAGAAGATAATACCAGGATTAGCCAACCGCTCCATCACTTTGTGCAATGAATCAGACGCCAAACACATATGACATCTCTGGCCATTGTGAAGCCCGTAAGGAGAATTTGCACCTCGTCCCAAAAGCAATGCCTACAAACATAAAGTGCAATTTAGATTCATCTTTTGTTGACAAATGAAACCAAACAAAATTACTATTTCTTAATCACAAATTCATCTGCTTTACATTAAAAAAATAAATTAATAAAAAACTCCCTAATGTATCATCAAGAATAGCAACAGTTATAGGCAATGTGCTATAGATTGGGTTAAAATGCAGAGTTATTCATATTTTACGTCTTTCACTTTCTTTTGACTCGAGCTACCATAGATGACTAGGATTGGACTTATTCTCTGGGCTGGGATTTTTTTTAGTGAATGTTTCTATCTTATATAAAGTGATTTGAACACTAGTAACAGTGAAAGATCGAATTTTTTTTTTTTTTTTTTTTGAATAACGAGTTTTATTCCATCATCCCGGGAATAAGAGCATACATCTCACTGGAATATGATAATTGCTCGGGAGCTAGGAATGATTGACGTGTAGTTGTAGAAGAGTATAAAGGGTACCGTGACATCTAAAAAGTTGTAGCATCAAAACATAAACTAAATTATTAATTAGCCATTTACAAAAAAAAAATAAAAAAAAATTATTAATTAGCCTTTGCAGTCACATTCGGCATAATACTATTCACCGTCTTTTAATTAAATAATTTGAAACTTCCTCTGGTCAATACAATATTTCAGGATAAGTAAACGATACAGCCCCTTAATTGTAGAAAGAATGGGAGATAAATTACCTGATGGATACTAAATTTGTCCAGACTTATCCCAGCATATGCTTTATCTTTGACCAATGCAATAATATCACTGAGAAGAAAATACCAATACATATCACATATGCTTGAGGAATACCATCTCCCCTTTGTAAGTATAAATACGAGAATCACATAGGACTCACAGGTGAAAGAGAGGTTCTACCTTCTTGAATATATATCAAGCAATGAATCATTATCATCCACAATAGGTATTGAGCTAACTTCAGCTACAAAAAGGATAGTAAAAATAAGATAACAAAAATATATAGAATAATTAATATGAATATATTTTGCATCTAACATGACTACGCTATTATATAATAAATCAAGAGCTACAAAGTTTTCAGTTCCCATTGCAGAGGGGGAAATTATTCACCACGTGTGTATTAAAGAAAGGACACCGTAGTTTGGCAGATTCTTAGGAAGACATGGTTTACCACTTTCTTCGTATCCTGGATCAACAAAAACAAACAACTGATCTGACATTTTCAGATTTGAGTCCCATCATGCAGTATTTGTCAAACCAACTCCTTGTTTCTATAGGTTCAGTGCACAATGAATGGTGCACCATATGTACCAAGCCAAGAATCTCTCCTTCAATTTCTATTTCTATTTCTTAAGTGATACACATTTTTTATATACGAAGAAGGCTTTGAAAGAATCCCTTTTGTGGAGGGGGAAAAACTGCATCTTACAGCAACAAACTTGAGTACCATTTAATGTCTAACCAGAAACCACTACTTTGAAAATAAAGAATGATCACCTTGAATCAACAGAGATAGAGCAGCACCAAGAGAAGCATTTGGCCTTAGCATAGCAAGCGGCTTTTTATTGGATTGCCCCACTTTTGGCGCCCATGTACCCAAAGGTATTGAAATTATTGGCAGTTGAAGAATGGGTAAGGAACCACAAGAGTGCTCAAAATGCCTGCATATACCTGAAAATTAAGTCCATAAATTAGTTCCAAACCATTTACGCATAGCCAACACAACTAGAAGCTTACATTTCAGTATTCCTGAGAGGGTAGCAAGATGAAGCAGCTGAGGAAATGAACCATCCTCTGAAGAATAATGGATAATAGGAACTGTTGCCATCTTGTTTTGCAAAATTTTCAAAGCTACATCTTTTAGACACTCATGGGGCCCGGCCTGCAGATTAAACATTAATACAGCATGAGATACTATCCAATCATGAAAGATAGACAAAACATGAAGTCAAGGCTAACAAGCAACATCTTCAAAATATAATGTTAAAATCACCATTTAGAATATAAATACTAAAGTAATAACATAAAAAAGGACGAAAGAAAGAAGAATCCTGACCTAATTGAAAGGACAAAACCGCATAGAAACTACTGCTGGGAATTCATCATTTCAGACAAGAGATAAGGATGACAGCAGCCTAAAAGTTCAATTAAAAATAGGGGTTTCTTTAATTGAGTATACTGGAGGAGACAAAACACCTCATAGGACCCACAGAAGAGTCAATAAGAACATGAATAAGCTGCCTAAAACCTATATTAAGTGCATAGAACCAGATTGGGTAACCTTTATTTTAGGGAGAAGTGTTTTTTCTGCAAGTAACAAGTTCTTTAGATAAGCTAAAATCATTGATATATACTGTATTATTTTTTTCCAACATATTCACATTGAATAGAACTTAATATTCATCAATCATGTTGTGGAATCCCTGATTTACTCCCAAATATATAATCAAAGCTTACAACCCTCTAGCTTATCCAAAATAATAACAACCTAGCAAATATATGAAATTGGAAAATTAGTTTTATACATGAAAATTTTGTCACAGTTGTTCAGTAGCCTTACATGAACAAAACGCTGAGGATATGTACTCCCACTGCTATCAGTTGCACATTGCTGTAACTTTCCCTCTTTCCATGCTGCGATAGTATGTGTCGCAAGTTGTTCTTCTGTCAAGTTTGATCCATGATTCCCCAGCTGAAACTAAGCATGTTAGATAACTCCCGGAATTTACAAAAACATGCACCATGCATTTCTTTATAATACTAGGCTAAAATCATATATTTTGAAAGAGAGTATATTGGAGAAAATTGTATGTATGGGTTGCACACTTGATCTCTTATTTACAGCAATGATGCACGGACACGGGACACGACACGACACGACACCCCGACACGTTAATTTTAAAAAATGCTAAATTTCGACACGTTGGGACACGTTTTGGTATTAAATAATATTTTTAATATATATAATATAGTTTACATTTAATACATATAATAACTCATAATAACTCATATATAATATTTAGGTTCGAATATTATTTTTTTTTGTTGGCAGGCATATTTGAAACACTTTATCAAACCAAAAAATATTACTTTTTCTTAGTTTTATATTGTTTTAATTTTATTTATAGTAGTTGGCCCACAAACCACAATCACGTGTATATTAAAAAATCCCTACAGCTAGCTGTGAGTTGATTGAATGTGATATCAACTTTATCCAATATCAACTTTATCCACAGTGTATTAATGACTGAATGACTCAACGACTCAACGTCAGAGTTCAAGTTGAATCGGTGGGTTTGGAGAAGATGATGTCCGATGATGATGGGTGGTGAAGGGTGGGACGAGAGGTTGAAGATGAGGGATGGTGCGGTGGAGATGGGTATGGGGCTGTGGGTGACCGGCGGTTGGAGGTGGAATGAGGTGGTGGTTCAGTCGATGAAGATGGGAGGAGGGTGATTTGAAAAAAATGGAGCTGCGGTGTTTGGACGGTGTGAGGTTAATTTAAAAAAAAAAATGTGAAAACGTGTCCTAAAACGTGTCCACATACGTTGACTGCGTGTCCGATTCAGTCAAATTCGCGTGTCCCCCTAGTCAACGTGTTCCAAAAAGTCAACCACGTGTCGAACGCGTGTCGGAACGTGTCGGTGTCCGACACGCATTTTTTCTCAAAAGTCACGTATCCGTGTTTCACAGATTTACAGCTTGCTTACAATCAATCAATGAAGAAACCAAGGAGCTAATCACTTGCTAGCAATCATCAATTGTTATAATTACAGTTGACCATATATTCTAAAAATAAAGAGGGCGAGCCTTGAGCAGCGATAAAATTGTTCCTTTGTGACCGAAAAGTCACTGGTTCGAATCCGGGAAGTCTCTTTGCGAATATACAAGAGTAAAGCTATTTACAAGGATTGGCCGTCACCCCTATCCTCGTTAGTCGGGGTTTAATGGGGAGTGGTTGTGATATATTCTAACAATTCCGCTGAAGTTGAAGCTTAGTAAGCTCTCAGCTTGTTACAAATAAACCCAACCAAACATAGACAAACCTAGCCAAACAAACCCAATAACTCAGCAAGACATTAGAAGCAAGACCAAACAGCACCTATCCAAGCCAAGCTGAAGATAAAGCTATGGTGCATACATGGCTGTCTCCAAACAGTCCCTTGCAGTGGTGGAACCAAGGCACAAGGGGTGGTCTAGACCACAAAAGGGCCAGTGTCTAAGTTGCTGCCAGAAGTGTATTTTTCCTACACGGGCCAGCAAGGCGAGACATGACAGCTTCCATTGATCAGTTCGTGATGGCTTGGACAGTAGCAGGGATGGAGAATTGTCTAGAGAGGTAAGCAGTCCAATAACAGCTAGGAAGGTAGAGATCTAGCACTGGGCAGCAGCAGGTTTGACGGGAAACTTTCCAGTGACAAGACAAAGTACACCATTCGTGAAGGAAAAAATACCGAAGGCACCGTGGGGAGAATAGCACATAAAGAGAGAAAGTTTTTCTGGAGAAATTAGGGTTTTCTTAGTCATCAAAAGAAGCAAATAGGACAGAACAGAGGCCAGAAAGTCTAAGGAGAAAGTGCTGCTGGAACAACCACACAGCAGAGGACAGGAAAAAGAGAATAAAGGGTTGAATGACCCCATGACTAGTGACAGGAAAAATGAACACAACCAGTGGAAACTAAAGAGAGGATACCAAACAAAGGATGGTACAGGATCCAGTCATGGAGGATGGTACAGCTCAGATACTATCTTGTGCAAAGAACCTTGTGATACACCACCTCAAAAGCTAGCTCAAAGGGTGGGAGTGCCCAAGGCCTTATAAAGGCCACATTAGTTGCACATACAACCAATGTGGGACTATATATCTCAACATGTCCCCTCACACAAGAGCCCATTGGGCTTGAAGAGTGGATGATGCAACAGGCTCAGCCTACCTGTGCTAAGAAAGTCCACAAGAGAAAGTGGGGGGCGGCGAGGCTCTGATACCATGCAAAGAACCTTGTGATACACCACCTCAAAAGCTAGCTCAAAGGGTGGGAGTGCCCAAGGCCTTATAAAGGCCATATTAGTTGCACATACAACCAATGTAGGACTATATATCTCAACATGTTGAAAGAATTATTGTTTTGGGAAAAAATTGTATGTATAGGCTAAACACTTGATCTCTTATTTATACCTTGATTATAATCAATCAATGCAGTAATCAAGGATCTAATCAGTATCCCAATCACTAGCTAACAATAAGTAATCTTCGTAATTACAGTTGAATATATATTCTAATATTCCAACAATAGAGACTGAAGGATAGCAATTAACCAATCATGACAATATATATTCATGAACACAGATAAACCACATACATATCTGAACTAGAAGGCATTTTACCTGAAGACCAAAGCATCAAGGGGATCCAGAAGGCACATATTTCAAGGCCCTTCCCAAATAAATTTCTCCTTAAAATACTTTATTTAAGCCTAAATAGTTTTACTTAAACCAGCTCCATAAATGATAGATAATTGGCCTAAAATGATGATAACAGGATTCACTAGTGATTACAAAAATACATTTAAAACTCACATCATTAATGTATGCCATAAGTACAAAAAAAATCAGGATAAATCAAGTATTGTCATCTGCCTCATTATTTCTTTCAACTTCACATAGATTTAGGCCTCAATGAAGTTATTGCATACACAAATTTTATCTTTCATCAATTTGTACCAGTCGTTAAGTTTTCATTTTTCAATAATTTTACCAAAAGCTGGCACAGGAGATTTTCATAAACAGTATATTTACAAACCTCTTTCAGTATTAAAATGAAGTCCGATGCGCTAAGCACTCCCACAAACTGGCACTTGCAAGAATCCCATAGAGGAGCCAAAGATACTCCCTGAAAGCAGATTAAGTTACAATTAGCCATGCAGATAAACAAACATTGCATGAGCATGGGTGTGTGCTCTGATGTGAAGAGAAAGACAAATACCAGTTCATAAATAGTGTAATGAGGAGGAAAAAAACATACCTGTTCATAAAAAACATGGAATGCTTCCTTAACTGGTAAATTTATATCCAAGGCAATAACCTAAAATTATAATAAATCAAATCCAAAGAAAATAAGCTTCACCCAAGAACAGTTAAACTCTTATTAAATGGAAACATTTAAAAAAAAAAACAATAGGGCAGAAAAAGTATTCAAACCTTGCTTGACTGGGGAAGCAACTCATAAGCAGTATGTGTAGACAAGAATGTAGAAATGCCGTAACGAGAGACCTGCAGATCAGACTCCGACATCCTTGGATCAGCTTCCTGAAAAAGTTCCAAAGTCAAGGTAGCTTCTTTTGTGCAGCATAAATTTCAACACAAAGAATTATGGGATCAAATCTGATACCATTTGAGAAGAGGATCAAATCAGATTTTTTTTTTCAAAGAAAATAAAAATGTTTATAAAATTCAAGAATTCACAGCATCAATTTTTTTTGTGTAAAAGAAGAAAATGTCATTAGATGGCAGAAAGTTTACACAAACACGCACACTTCAAAAAAATACACAAAAAAGGAGGACAAGATAACATCCTATGCAAGGCACAAAGAAGAAACAAATAAAAGACAAACAAAATTGTCATAAATCTCCAATCCCTTTGTATATATGTTATGAAGTCTCACTTAAATAGACTATAGGCCCTACACCAAAGAGATGCTAGTAAAATGATTTTGTCCCATATTAGATCTAAGGGCTGAGAAGAGTTCTTGAAGTCATGAGCATTTCTCTCAAGCCAGATACACCACACAGCAGCATAGACAGTGCATCACCATAGAGACTTTCCCTTCTTAGTTATACCAAAGCCCTTGAAGCTAATCAAAAGAAATTTTTCCACAAAAAGGGCAAGCAAATGTCCACAAAAATGCTATCTCACTAAGAAAAAGAGATGAAGTCCTTAAGGGAATCATAAGATAAACATAATAGGCCTTGCAAGTTTGTCAAATAATCCAGTTAGAAACAATTTCATTTCTTCTAATGATTTTCTTTTGCTATGCCTTTGTGGTAAGAGGAACAAGACTGTCAAATATGAATTATTCCAAAAGCTTAAGCTATTAGGTGAAGACTCAAGATTGGTTTTATATCTCCAACACCTCACAACAAGAGCCCTTTGGGTTTGAAGCATGGACAATGCACAAGTCTACTCTACCTTAGGTTGAAATTCAACTTTTTATTTTGAAAGGGGGTGGCAAAGATTGAACTTCTAACAATAAGAGGCCTTGTTAGCATGTCAAATATTCCCAAAAGCTTATGATGATAGATGAAAGCTCTGGATTGGTTTTATATCTCTAAAAAAGGCAAAGACGTAATCTTAAAGTAAATAAACCATCATTTTTTCTTCTAACTATTTGATAATTCTCAGTTTCTCACCTTAAGATAAACTCTAACTTCAGTAATTTAATAAACTGAGATTTACAGTCAAATATATGATTGTTTTATGAGTGCACTCAAATTCCTTCCAATTTCCAGCAGTGAAGGGACCAATTTTTTTGGGTGGATTTGCAGCACAGGAATTAGTGAGAATTGTCATCATTTTATAATTTTAAAATGTTAGGTCGGTGTTTTTCTTTCTTTCCATCAGATTCGGAAACTCCCACTATTCTTGTTTAAAAGTTCATTTAAACTTTAAAGGCAGTTTCGAAGATGACAAAAATATACAGGTAGGACTACAAATGCGCGCATGTATGCTCCCAGAAGTAAATGAAGCCCCACATTGAGGATAATGATAATCATAACCGCAGTCATTGACCTATAACATAGATTACTATCCAAGCAATACAATGTATGCAATAGCAAGAGGCAAAGATAGGAAAGGGGAAGAAACGTACCACATGCCTAACAACATCATTGTCAACCTCCATGTGGGATCTACCAGGTGCTTCAACCCTTAATATGGCAGGTAAGATAGATGGTTCTCTCACTAAATAAATAGTATTTACTAACCCATAGTTCCCAAATACAAATGGCTGCTGCTCATCGTGCCGCCACTCACCATCCACATTAAATTTGTACTGCACATAATTGGACATGATGTTATCCCCATCAGCATGAATCAAATATCCTTTCCATATTATGTAATGTTTAAAAGTATTTTAGTTTTTCCCAGAAATATCATATATTGTTCCGAAAAGGTGGATTTTATTGAAAATGCCTACACATTAGTGACTGACAGGTCAGAATAGATAAATTAAATAACAGAGCTCAATAAGTTATTGATTGAATGACGACTCTTTTTGTCGCCATATGGAAACAAACGTGTCATCAAAAGTCAACATAACCGAATCTATACATACCAAATATGCGAAAAAAGACAAGTTTAATCCTATTGAATGTTCGTTACATAAAAGGACATAATAAGATCCCAATTTACCAAATGTACTTAATCTAACAATAAATTTTTTTACAGCTCCCACAATAAGGAAACTAGTTCCCAAGGAAAGATGGACTACAAATAGAAAGATGACAAATGAGTTACATAAACTGCATAACTAACCAAGACTATCATATTGTATATTTACTCATGTTTAATTCATTATACAAAAACTCTCCCCAACACTTTTTATTTTCTTTGCTTTTACAAGGGATTGAACTTATAACCAAGGTTATCACATCGTGATTCACCAAGCTAATTTTTGAATCGTGAATTGTATCGAATCATAAGATTCAATGACACAATGAAAAATAGCTTGGAATATATCATATAAATGATGTACAATGCTCGATGTAATAATTTTAAACTACTAATTAACAAAACAATTTAACCATAACTCTCACAAAACAAAATTATATGTCATAAGTCGTAACTAAGTCACAAAAAATGATTGCATGAAACCTATGTTTTAGAAAAATGAAAATAGAACAATGATATAAAAAAATAAGGTGCATATAGAGTGAGCAAGTGACTGTGAGAAACCTCTATTTCGAAAGAATGAAAAGCAGTAATAGAATAGCCAAATATGATGCATAGGGTGAGTCAGTGACTATGTGAGTCCCTTGTTTTAGAAGAATGATAACAGGGCAATGGAATAATAAAACAGGATGCATTTAGCAGTGCTCCTTTAGTTCCTTTTCATTTAACAAATTGACTTTTCAATTTCTTTTATGAGAATTGATGAAAGCAAAGTACTACAAAAATTAATGAATCGTGCATTTTGTATCAGTGATACAAATCACATTGACTCATGCATATATCGCACGATTCAAATTCATCTTCAATTCATCGCATGATACAAATCGTTGGCTTGCTGAATAGTATCAAATTGAATTGTGAATCGTAAGATTCTAACAACAATGCCTATAACCTCTACCCAAATCACACCCTGACCTTGCCACTTGAGCTAAGGCCAAGCAGCAACTCCCACCCTAAAATTAATAATCTTGTTTCCTAATATCATTATATAAAAAAGAGGGGGACGGGGAGTAGACAAGCAAAGTAAAATTTTGCAAAATCATATAACTAGAAATTGCTCCTTGAATCTAATAACAAAAAAAAAGGCTTCGCTCTCAATGAGCTTGTAGCTCAACTGGCATTGGCTCCCATTTACAAGATGGAGGAGTGATGAAGATGCCGGAGGTTCAATCCTCAACTAGACCACTCAGGTGCTTGCACCTTCAATGTACTACAAAAAATGGCTTAATTATATATATGGCTTCTTGTTTTTATCGGATGTCCTAAAGTAAGAATAAAAATTAATACAGGCTTTCAGTTTTAAGAACTGGAAAAAGATGCAAATCAAAATGAGATGATGAAATTTTTTACAGGGTGTCAGCTTGAGCAGTATGACATTCTCCAAATTCATATATTAAAAATGGGAAAATTTTGTGTTATTCTAAATGAAACAACCGTGTTTTAATATATATATTTGTTAGCCTTTCACATTCTCTCTCCTCCACAAAATTAGGAGAAGAGAGAATGTAAAAAATAAAAAAATATGTACCAAAACACAGTTGTTTCATTTAAAATAACAAAGTTTTATCCTTTAAAATGACAAACATTTACCCCATTAAAAATACAGATGAAAGGTAATCTAATCTACCATCTGGATTAAACTCAAGACACAAAACTTAAAGCATTAGATGGTAACATCAACGACACCTTTAAGTCTAACCTACAATCTTGATGGCCATGCTGTTTGCAAGAAAATATTCTTGCTTACATTTTCTTCTTAGTCAGAATGATGCAAATTATCCAATAGTTTTCTCTTTTAAAATTCAACCATCAACGTTTACTTGTTCATTCATCCTTTCAACTCCAAGAGGGGACGAGATGACTCTTATGCCTCATATGAAGGCCATGCAAGTTTTTTACTCTGATATAAACTCATAAGGAAAGATGACAATCATCATGAAGTTATTTATTTGTTCCTGACTATTCTAAGATCAAAATCTTAATCACACCATAATGTTTAAAGTAATTTCATTTACAGACACAATCCTCATTTTTCCTTTTGATTTTTCTAGCATCATGAGCAAACAAACTCAATGATCACATCCCATAGTCTTATCATCAAGGAGAGAAAGAGGTGCATTCTGACCTAAAAGTCATTGACCATATATAATAATAAGTACATGATATGAAAGTTTCAAACATAAGTAATTTATTTCCTCAGGTTTGCCAAAGTCATAGAGGCCAAACAACCTGATGATATCCTGGCATTAGCCTGCAAATAACTTGAAATACAGTCGGGCATCCTTCCATCGGAGACATGGGTATAGATACTGCCCACCTGTGCATACACCAGTCAACATAATTAAATTAATTCTACCATGTAATTAAAACAATTTTTGAAAATAAAAATAAAAAACGAATCAAAGTGACAGTCACATCTATCATGTTCAATAACTAAGATCGAAACTGTTAAGCTAACTATAGAACTACTGTTGTAATAATTAACTCAATAATCCAAATTCTTACCTCGTGAAAGAACCACATAGAAACACCCTTCTTCCTCCATAAGGCCAAATAAATTGTTTGGGAATCAAAATGGATTCTGCTACTCCACTACTCCCTTGTCTTCTACTCGCTACTGAACCAAACATTTCCATCACCCCGAAAATTTAACACCTGAAAAAAATTCAAAGCAACTCTATAACTCTAAAACCCACTAAAAGCCACGAACATCAACAACCAGAACAATTTATACCACGAGAATCCTCCAAAGCAGAGCAGAGTACCCCTCAACACTCACATGCAATGTAGTGTACCTTCTTCACAATCAAAATCACACCCGAAATAAATTCAACACAACGTTCCACCACCATTGAGTTGAATGAGTGGATACAGTTTAGAATCTTAAGACTAAAACTGTCGCAAAATAAATAAATAAATAAATAATGAGAATTTTGATTACCAATAGAAAGAACTGAAATGGCTGGAAAAAAAAATAATCAAAGCAATCAGCATGCAATGTTAAAGGGAATTTAGCTTAGGTCAGAAGCTGTTTCTATAGAGAAAGAAAATGGAGAAAACTTCTAGAGAGAGAGAGAGAGAGAGAGAGCATGTTGTTGCATTGTGGATTCTGTTACGATTCCTGGTTACAGAATCAAATTGAGGAAGGAGTGAAACGAGGGAAAGAGTGATAAAAAACGTGACGGAGCAACAAAATTTAAAAAATAATAATTAAAATTATTATTACAAGTGCAGCCACCGTAAAAGAGGGAGAGAATAAAGGAGGAAAGAGGGGGGAAAGTGCAAAAAACACACTACATTGCGCAGTAAAATCGTGTGCCACTGCTACAAGACAAGAGTTCTAAAACGGGGGAAACAACCATATACAAACAAAAACCCCTAACCGTCTTAGGATACTATTCGCGTCATGTCTGTTCACGAATTATATAAGAGTTTCTTAATTCTTTGTAGAAAATGAATTAGGTGCTCCGTTAATCATGTTTTGTTGAAATAAAATTCAATTTAATGTATGTACTGTTTATCCTAAAAGTTTAAAAAAATGAAAGGTTATTTAAAACATGGGTTATGTTTATCTCATTTTACATGAGATAAACATCTCTCCTACACACACAAAAAGGAGTTGGGTCCCACCACTTTTTTTTTCTCTCTCCTCTTACATGTGGGTCCCACTTATACCTTTATTTCTACAACATGAGGTATTTCTTTTCCTACAACATAAGAAAAATATATCCCTTAAAACATACTTAGTTAATGCAGGTAAAGTTATAATTGATGAGAAAACAAATTATTTTTTTCAAAACTGTTTTTTTAAATAAAATATATTTTAGATTTAACCTCAGATATTACAAAATTATTTATAAATTAATGCAGGTTTGAAGCTCTGACAACTAAGCATTAATGCAATTCTTGTCGTGTCCTAAAGAAAATTGATAATTCACGTGGGGGTGCGTTATACTTTTATCAAAAGCTCATTTGTTCTTAAATTAGTCTATATACATACTTTGATAGGCATTAGTGTGCACTATTTCATTAACTAAATATTAAATTATTTAATTCATAAACTACTTATATTTATCCATTTAACTATGTAATTTAATTAATAATCATGCCACAAGCCCCCTGATTAATTATAAGTAGGTTGTTAGCTAAATCAGTTTGATGTTTAGTTAATAGATTGTGATGTAAAGTATGTGTAAAAATGTACTATCTAGCATTGGAGCACGTATTTTCTTACTAAAAGAATGAAATATGGAAAAAAAAAATAACATAAAGATGGGATTAATGTAAATAAAATAATTTTTATCATATTTAATAAAGGATGTTACCATATTTGACACACAAAAAATGTGCCAAATATCAGGGGCGGACCGAGGGGAGAAGCATCAGTGGTTGTCCCTTCCTAAACTTTAATTATTTTATATATAATGATATTTATCTAATAATAATACATTTTAATAGTGCTATTAGTTAGTCTCTATCTAAAAAAATACTTATAATAATTAATCCATCTTATTATTCTTAATAACACTTATAATTTTGATATTTTATTTAGCCCCCTCATCACAAAAAAATTCTGAGTCCACCAATACCAAGTAATCATACATTCGTAGCATCATAGAATATTTTCCTAACATTGCTTTTGATAATATATAGTACATAACCTCAAGACAAAGTTTTATTTTGATACATCATGCAAGATAACATCTTATGGTATAAGATGAGATAGTCTAAAGTAAGTTACATATTGTGTAAATTTTTATGCTACCAATTATTTAATGTTGCATACATTACTATATAGTATTAAAACTACATTCATACAACAAAAATGTATCATGCAACAAAAATGTATTAACATTTGAAATCACCCCTTCACCTTTATTTCAAATACAATTTTTTTTTAAATGGCGCAATATTTCTTTTTTCACTCTCTATAGATATCATTATATTGTTGTTCTTTTTTTTATTCTTTGGCAAACGTCAATTAATTCATTATCAGTATCGTACGACATATGATATATATCATACAATATGATATAATTCACAAGGTCAGTGATACGCATCAAGGAAATGTATCAGAAAGGGGTTGTATCATATGATACAAAAATCAAATCAAAATTTCTAATTATTATTAATACAAAAAAAGAAAATAAAGATTTGATTTTTGATTTAAACTCAAAACTCAATATGAAAAATATGTATTAATAAAGAAAATAATTAAATAAATATTCTAAATCTATTCAATTTTCATAATAAAAAATAAATCAATAAAAAAATGATCCAAATTAAAGCAACAGAATTAATTTTCTAACTTTGCTTTAGCCTTTTGAAGTCGAAAAGTTTTCGTCAAGAAAGATTTTTGTTTTTTCTTTAAAAACCATTCAGATGCTATAAAGGTGTGCATGACAACCTTCCCATAATTTATTTTTTTTCAATTTCTATTTCAGAAAAAAAAAATGGATAAAACACTGTTTGACAGAATCGGTTTACTTTTTTGTTCCAAAAAATGAATCGGTTCTATTTGTGTGCTGGATAAAGAAAAAAAGAAGAAGAAAAAATTTAGCTTCTATATTTCTGGACACAAAACGAGAATGACTTTTTTTTTTGCCTCATCTCTTCCTCTCACAGCTCCACCCTCTTCTTCCTAAACCCAAATCCCATCCTCTTCACCTAACCCACCATTCCACCAAGAAGCCACAACCTGCAACTTCCGACCTCCATCATCACCGGAAAACACATTATCGCTGGCACTGGCAGACCCACATGGTTGCCTATGTGAGCAAGTGCAGATACAAAAGTAGTTTAATGCATTTAAAAATTTATTTCTCACTCGTTGTCATATAACAAGTCTTGATTTGGTTAATTTTAATCGCCACGGATTTCTAAACTGCCCACTGAGTAAAAGAAAGAAAATGAGAAGTGCATGCAATGTCCCTAAGTTATGATAAAATTAAAAAGATAAAGTAATGATTAAACCCAAAAAGAAATACAATAAAAGTTTTAATATTTTTTTTAAATTTGATATATTTTTATACAAAAGAAAAATATTATACGGACCTATAAAATAGTTTTCTTTTCTTTTCTTGTTTATATTCTTTTATTTTTTAATACATTTAAAATTTTCTTTTAAAGAAATCTTTTAGGGATTTTGTCCCCGAATCTCTGTCACTAAATATGCAGTCATAAATAAATTGTTCTAGATCCGAGGACCACTGGTCCAAAACCTTCCAACAACCACATCACTGTCATTGTAAGAACCCGCACCGTTAATTAAGAAAATTAATTAATTAATTAAGAAAAATTAGGAAATAATTCCATAATTGACCCTAATAATTATTATAAGTCTTTAATAATTATTGTAAGTGAGTAATAATGCTGAAAGTCGCTTTTCTGACGAAAAGTGCAGATACCGGTTCTGCTACCCGGTATAAATGCGTACCGATGAAGTATCCCGAAAAATTATAATAAGTGCATGAATATTCCTAGAATATTATATAAGACTAGTAAAACAAGTTTCGGGTCAAAATAATGAGAACAGGTGCCAGAACTGATACTGGCTATGGAAAAGTGCGTACCGGAAAGGTGCTGCGAAAAATAAAATAAAAATATGAAAAATCCTAAAAAAATGAGTAGGTTCAGAATCTCAAGTTTGAGATTAAAATGATAAGCATAACTATTTTCGTTAATACTGTGTGTTTAAAACTTAAGTGCCTATAAATAGCGTTGTGGCACAAAAACCTAGGTTAATTTGGTTGCCTCTACGTGAGTTTTCTGGTCTTCATTAGCTGCCACCCTCCATCTACCCTTCCATAGCCTTCTTCTTCTTAAACTCCACCAAAATGACCACATTTACTCTTAGTTCCTTCATCAACGTGGTGTAGGGGAGTGAGAGCAAGGCTTGTGTGAGTGAAAGGTGCTCATTTTCTGAGTTGAAGGTTCAGCTTTGGTGTGAGTTGAGGGCTGAGTTCCTTGGTTTAGGGTGAGGAAGCCTTTGTTGGTCATTTTTGAGCTTCAAGGAGCCACATTTTAGTGTAAAAGTCCAACCTTGTAGTGCATTTTCGTGGGTCTTCGAAGTCAGAACCTTGGTGTGTGGTTAGAGACCTCTTTGTTGTATCATTTTTGGAGCTTAGAAGCATACCATGATCACCTCTTTGTCTTTTGATGATTTTAAGCTTGTTTAATCAATTAAAAAGTAAAACTTTGATCATTTGATAAAAGGAATGTGTTTCTGAGTCCCTAACATGCATATGAACATCTGTTTTTGGAGTTCTTGGACTCCAGATCGAGTTTGGATCATTGGAGGTCAATTATACCTTTAAAACTCAGTTTTTTGCATTTTGTCGAAGAAGTATTCGAATACTTTTCGTGCAGTATTCGATTACTTCCTGGAAAAATGCAGTAATCGAATACTTCGCGAGACAGTAGCGATCTAGTTTAGTAAAATTGCGATATCTCGAGCTACAGAGCTCTAAATTGAGTGAGGTTTGGACCTATGTGAAGCTAACAATAAGGTCTACAACCTGTAAATTTTTAGATCTATTGGATAAGTGGAGTGCTCTCAGTTTATGTTTGAAGTCGCTACCCTATTGCTGGAAATTCAGCTTGTTGTAGGAACTTTGCAAAAATCATAACC